CAGGTGCCCTTGTCCTGGATTCTTAATTACTCTAGTAGCTGATAGTCTTCCTTCCGTGCATTTGTCTCTTCTTTTCTTTACTCTGACATTAGTCAGGCTCCTTGTGCTGCCAATAACAGATTCACAGCAAGAAGAGGATTCCTTCGTTCACAGAGCCTGGAAGGCTGGGGTAGCCCAAGGGAAGAGTGGGAACCGGGGCCTCAGGACCTGACCTCTCTTCCTCTTCTTCTCTTTGAAACCCCATCTCTGCCTGGCTTCATTCTCTTCCACGGCAGAGTGCCCTTCTCTGTGTGGTTGTGGAAGGCTGCCCGCAATGCCAGCCCTCTTCCTCCTAACTCTCCATGCAAGCGCACAGTAGAGAATTACCCCGCCAGTTCCAACTGGGAAAACTCTGGTGCAGGACTTTGCCCACATGAGGTCAAGAGCCCTTACCTTGTTTCAGTCCCTGTGTGTGCAGGGAGATGGCACTATGATTGGCCAGCTGGGGTCCTGGGTGGGGAGCGTGGGGGGCTCTAACTGCTCTACCAGGACCACACAAAGTGGTAGGAGTTCCCCAAAGGAAAAGGGATGCTGTCACCCCATTACAAGAAGAGAGCAGACTCATTTCTTCAGTCCGCCGTGTGCCAGAAACGCGCCTTCAGCAGTTTCTTCCCCATCCCCTGAAGGACCACCAAGGCAAGGCTTTTGTGGACTAAAGCTTTCCTGAAAGTTGAAGATTTCTTCAATTGTGCCTACATAAGGAAGCCTCCGGAAAAGCCCCAAAGTACAGGATTCACAGAGCATCCGGAAGGTGCTGGGAAGTGTGTGGTGCCCACAATGGGCATGGAAGCCCAGTGTATCTTCCACGAACCAAATCCTCTACAATAGACTGGTCAGCCAGGGGGTAAACTGTTTTCCTGAATTCTGGGAACTGTTCTAGCCACTTAATCACACCCAAGGAGAGGGTCCTGGGAACTTTTGATATAAAACCTCAAAAGCACGCCGCCCTTCAATATATTACACTGGTTACCTTTGGGTAGTGGAATCATGGGTAGTTTTTATGGATTTTGTTGGGTTTATTATTTCTTTTTTGCTTATCTCTATTTCTACAATTAATAAATGGAAACTGGCTCAAGGCAAGTCAGGAGAAGCAGAGCCTGCTGTCCCCGTCCTCTTTAGGGAGAAACGTGAACCCCCTTACAGAAGCCTCCCACCTCCTCACCCCCAGCCAGGCCTTCATCCTAAGCCTCTGCAGCAGGACCACATCACACGACCACCACAGTCTCCAGTGAGGATGGAAAAAGGAGTATTTCAGTGTTTTAAGCCTCTACAGTCTTGCTAGAGAAAGGTGGCCACAGAGGAAGGGGCCGGGTGCAATGATCAGTCTAGGCAGCCAGTATGTCTGCAACAGCAGAACTGGGAAACCGGGGAAGGCAGAGGGATTGGACGATTGTTCTCGGTCTGGGGTGGGTGTTACCACTCTGGTGTGTGGCCCTGGGTGTCCAGAAGGGACTCCTGATCGTAAAACGTAGAGCTCTGGGCTTTCATTATGACTGCTCTCAGGCATCACACCAATCCTGGTCCCAATCTTGTTAGTACTTTGCAATGATAGTAATTATTATTCCTATTTACAAAGTGTTTTTTCCGAGGTAGGGTATTGCCAACCTCCTATTATAGTTGAAAAAGTCAACACAGGAAGGTTAGTACAGGGAACAGATCCACAGGGGCAAGGAGGGCCCTGCAGCTGGCCGATAGGACTGCTGCACCAGGAGAGCTGAAGAACCCCGGGTCTGTGAGAGCCTGGCACGGGGATGCCCCCGCCACCAAGGCCTGAGACAAGCTCCAAGGCCACCCATCCTGTGTGCTGCATCCTATGGCGACGAGCCCGTGCATGTCAGGTTGGGGGAGGCTCTTCATGCCGAACACCAGATGCACCTAACGGAGGCTGATGGCAAGGCCCCACTGGGGGAACGGGTGGGCTTCTGGGAGCCGTTCTGGGAAACTGAAGACGGGGGTGGGGGGTGTTGTTGTGCGCTAGTGAACGACGCGGCAAAGACTCAGCCCAGGACATCATGAAGGAGTACTTCAAAGGCAAGAAATGAATAAATAAAAACTTGGCACTGGTTTAAACAAACTAGTTAATTAAAAGGACATAGAATCTCATTTTGTCCCAGCGTGGGCCAGTCAAGGACTCTTGACTCTTGGGCCTGAGGAGCACAGGAAGCGATGCTTCTGTCACACACTGTACTTCTCAGTCCCAGGGCACACTCTCTGCCCAACGTGTCAGCTCTTCTCGTCCTGGATGGATTGTTCTCGAAACATGTCTCTGGTGTGCTAGGAAGACGTCTGATGTGAGTCTGAGACCTGGTTTACCATCTCTCTCAGGCCCTGACATGGGTACATCACTGTGCTCTGCATCTGCTTCGCCCACAGTTACTTTTCTCCGTTAGCAAGTGTCTATGAAAGTGCTTTGGAACGTAAAGAATGTTCTCTCTCTGTAGGTATTTCTTACGTGCACACATTCCTAACTTGTCTCCACCTTTCCCCCTTTTCTTTCTTTCTTTTCCTTCTTCTCTTTCCTCCCTTCCTCCCTCCCTCCCTCCTTCCCTTCCTCCCTTCTTTCCAGAAAGTGATGTCAGCATCCAGCGCTGGGGGCTGGGAAATGCTCAGGATACCACTCATTAGGTTGCAGGGGACCATGTGGGGGGACATTATTCTTCCAGACCCTGGGTCAATGTGTGTTATTCCCAGAAGAAATGTTTTAAGGTATAGGGAAAGGAAATTTGCCAAGGATGTTTAATGGGTTCTTGTAAACATTTGTATTCTGAATAACTGTTAGTGTTTCTTATTCTGGACTCTTTATTTTAAAGATCTAAAAAAAGTTGTGCCTGCATTGTAGGTCGGAGTCAGAAGTGTAGACGGTCATGGGGCGCCTAGGTGGCTCAGTCAGTTAAGCGTTGGACTCTTGATCCCAACTGAGGTCTTGATCTCAGCATCCTGAGTTCAAGCCCCATAATGGGCTCCATGCTGGGTGTGGATCCTACTAAAAAAAAAAAAAATAAAGTACAGACCAGTGTCATTCCAGGATGGGTTGGCAGACACTGCTAGTGGCCTTTCTAATATCCATCCTCCCCTTCTTTCTTTTCTTTTTTTTTTTAAATTTATTTATTTGAGAGAGAGAGAGCCAGAGAGAGAGCACAAGTGAGCACAGGGTGGGGGAGGGACAGAGGGAGAGGGAGAAGCAGACTCCCCACTGAGCGGGGAGCCCAACATGAGGCTCCATCCCAGGATGACGGGGTCATGACCTGAGCCAAAGGTAGATGCTTAACCAACTGAGCTACCCAGGTGCCCCTCTCCCCTTCTTTCTTACTAACAGAACCCTGATTTTGCTTAAGGCAGCCATATGCCCAATTAAAAATGTTCACTTTCCTAGGCTCCCTTGCAGTTAGGAATAGCATGGGACTGAATTCTGGCTAATGATATGTAAGTGACAGTTGCCAGGTGGGGGCCTCCAGGAAACCCTTTTTAAAGATCAGAGACTTCACTGGCATTCTACCCCCACCTTTTTTTTTTTTTTTTGCTTGAAATGTAGACTCAATGGCCAAGCATCTACCTTATAGCCATGAAAAAAAAACTACAAGTTAAAGATAGCAAAGTAGGAGACAGAATGACCATAAGTCCTTGACAACAGTAGAGAGTCACTTACTTGCTGATGTCTCAGGTAAAAATAGTCAACTAATCAATTAAATAAAGAAACAAGAAGCCGGGGCACCTGGGTGGCTCAGTGGGTTAAAGCCTCTGCCTTCGGCTCAGGTCATGGTCCCGGTGTCCTGGGATCGAGCCCCACATCGGGCTCTCTGCTCTGCCGGGAGCCTGCTTCCACCTCTCTCTCTATCTCTCTGCCTCTCTGCCTACTTGTGATCTCTGTCAAATAAATAAATAAAATCTTAAAAAAAAAAAAAAGAAAGAAAAAGCCAATTTGGTTAATCCATTATGGTCAAGTTATTGTCCCATGCAGTGAAACACAATTTTTAAGAAAATATTTATTTATTTATTTATTTATTTATTTATTTATTTATTTATTTGGGGGGGAGATGGGAAGGGCAGAGAGAGAATCTTCAAGCAGACTCCCCACTGAGTGCAGAGACTGACTTGGGGCTCCATCTCCCATGACCTGAGCCAAAACCCGGAGTCCGCCACTTAACTGACTGAGCCACCCAGGCACCCCAATCAAACACACTTTGAACTAGTAAGGCCATTAAGACATTAAATGTGCTATGATAAGGGTTGCCTGGGTGGCTCAGTTAGTTAAGCCTCTGCCTTCAGCTCAGGTCATGATCCCCAGGGTCCTGAGATCGAGCGCCGCATCGGGCTCTCTGCTCAGCCGGGAATCTGCTTCCCCCTCTTTCTCTCCGCCTGCCTCTCTGCCTACTTGTGATCTCTTTCTGTCAAACAAATAAATAAAATCTTTAGACAAACCATAAGAGACTCTTAATGTCACAAAACAAACTGAGGGTTGATGGGGGGAGGAGGGTAGGGAGAGGGTGGTGGGGTTATGGACATTGGGGAGGGTATGTGCTATGGTGAGTGCTGTGAAGTGTGCAAACCTGGCGATTCACAGACCTGTACCCCTGGGGCTAATAATAAATTATATGTTTACAAAAAAAATTATTAAAAAAATAAAAATAAAATCTTTAAAAAAATAATGTTCTATAATAGAAAATGGGTGCAAACTTCCTGTAGGGTCTCTGAGACACCAGTGCTGCTCACACTTCCATGTGCCTATAAAACCCTTGGGGACCTTGTTAAAACCGCAGATGCTGATTCAGTAGGTCTGGACTGGAGTCCGAGGTCTGCCTTTCTCAGAAGCTTGCAGCCAGCGCTGAGGATGCCGGTATGGACCACACTTTGAGTAGCAAGGACTTGAAAAATGACAGCTCTTTTGTCTGCTCCTACGTTGGGGCTATTCTGTTTTTATTTGATACGTGGATTATTCAGTTAAAAATCTGCAGAGGATCCAGTACATTTTCAACCAAAAAAGTTTTTATTTAGAATATTTCAGAGACAAAAAGCAGTTCACTTTGTTTAGTAAAATAAATTTAACAAATACATTTAAATAAGGTAAATCGAAGACTTCTGTGGATCTTTTCCCTGTTACTTGGTTTTCTGCCAGTTGGAGTTTCTGTCTCCCAGCCTGACTGGGTTTTTTCATAAACATAACATGAGGGAGGAAGCATTTCCTTCTGACTCTACTTCCCTAAGTTGTTTTCCTCATGTTGTTTTCAACAGAGGCCTTGCCTACTCTGAAATGGATGGTAAAAATAAATTGGTACTGGGAGGTGATGGTAAAAGGCAAACTTAGATGATTTTCACACCATCTGTTAACAAGAACCAAAAGGAAATGCAAGCCCCACCACTTCCCAGCCAAGCCACTGTTTTACACAGAAGCTACATGGCGTTGCCTAGGGTTACTTTCTTTTCTGGTTATGTACATTAAAAAAATACAATGTTGTGTTAAATAGCAGGACAGCTAACAATGGAACACACAGCACTACACTGAAAAACGAAAAAGCTGGGTTAAGCCAAGGAGAGAAACGGCGGATGGTCTTCATGGAGGGCAGCTGCCAGTGCCCACCATCTCCTCAGTCTGTCACGGATCTGCACTCTGAGGGCAGGCCTTCCGATTGCCGCCACTGAGCCAGACGCTGCTTAAACCATTTCTGGAGGAGGGAAATATACAAAATTACCTGTCACATACTGGCAAACTGGAACATCCCTTCCTTTTCTAAAAGGTAGCCTCTGTGGCCCAACCAGAAAGGAATGTGTCCACGGGATGGTTTTTCTCACTGTGACACTTACTTTCCCTGCCCCAGGACATTTGTACATGCTATTTCCTATGCTTAGCGTGTTCTGTCTTCATTCTTTATCTGATGATCTCTCTCTCATTCTCAGGCCTCAGCTTAAAAAGAACTTTCTCAATGAAGTCTTCCCTAACCACTTTGTGAAAACCTAAAGCAGGTTCTCCATCCGTCTCCTTATTCTCTATTTTAATACTTTGCTACCTTCACAGAACTTTTACCATTTGTAATTACTATGTTTATTCACTTGCTTTTAGTCTACATTTCCTTCTAGAATATAAGATCCATGAAAGCAGAGACTGTTTTCACTTTATCATCACTGATCGCATCCTTTACCCCTAGCACAAGGGCTGCTTCCTCAAGTTCTCATAGACAACTGATCACTGTAGAGATTCCTGTGGGAAGGCCCTGGACTGCAGAGTCCCCAGTGGTCACCTACCCAAGCAACTTGCCAGTTTGTCCCAGCGTGACATGAAATATCATCATTCCCAATGTTTGCCATGATGCATGAAAGGCTGGGAAACAGGAGAATAAAGCATGAGGTCTGACTTCCCACAGGGCCCTCTGACTCATCGGCTCCCATGAGGATCAGTGTCTGCTGTTTCTGTTTCCTCACTAGTCCCTCCTCGACTTTGTTTTTTTAAAAACCCAGTTTCCTCTTGGCCATCCTGATCTATACCCCAGCCTATTCGCCAGCCTGGGTCTCCCAGTCCCCTGTGCACAGAATCCCCCCACCCCTTAGCAGCATGGTAAAAGGCAAGGACCCTGTCCAGAAGCATCACATCTTGGGGCCTTCCCTAAATCCATGGTCTCTTTTGTGAGATGTGAATATTTGAGAGCTGCATGGCGCCAGTTTCACTAATGAGGTAGCTCTGTGGGGGTTTTGGGGCGACAAGGTCTGATTCAATAAGATTTCCCGTTACTACCGCTGAATACATGGAGATGTTTTTAAGACTAATTAAAACTTGGAGGAGGAAAGTCTCATTTTCTGTCAGGATGCATTTAAGGCAAAATGAGCTGGTCTTATTCAGAAGAGCCACCCATATCTTTATACTAGTAATGAATATTAATGGACAGTTCCAAAAATAACCTCGGTGAGGACCACATTTGTGAACTGGAAAATTGGCATCCACATGCCTAATAAAGCAAACCCCGGTGCTGGGGGATGGAATGAGGTTCAAGAACAGCGTAACAATTTTCTCAGGATACATATTTTAAATCAGGTGTGTATGTAATAATTTGGCAAACGAGTTGCTGTCCAACAAAAACCATCAAACACCTCACTTGCTTCTTTTTCCCTCCAGAGGTGAGTCTTACCACATCTCCCTCATATCAATACGAACTTTCTACCTGGCTTTATTCTTCTCTTCCTTGTTTCAGTCATCCCCTGGGAAAGACATTCATCCCTCACTGGCTCATAAATGAATGCCCTCATTACCTCACCCCATTGATGGAGATTTATTTACTCTGAGTGAACAGATGATAATTAGACACTGCGGTGGGGAGGGATGGAGGCAAAATAACATTGTTCCTGTCCTTTTCTCTAGTAACTAACATTTTGTTCATTTCAGGGGGAGACCTCTAGAAGTCTTTATTCCACTGATAAAACCTCCAACAACTAAAACCACGGAGTTCTGGGAATAGTCCCAGGGCATTAAGAGAAGATAAAGATACTGGGAACCTCCCTAAGAACCAAGGCCAGCTACACTGGACTTGGATTTGTGATCATAGAAAATGCCAGGTCTTCCTGACCTCCCCAGGGACTGATGATAAAAGACCTTTCCCAGCCCCTTCTAACACTGACTTCAAAATAATAAGAGACACAGGGGTTGGGATTCTATAAAGGTTTATCTTTTAAATGGAAGAGGTATCTTATTACTGACATGAGAAAAAAAAAAAAAAACCACACCCATTCTAGGATCCAGCAAAGGCAACTTAAAAAGTTATTAACATTAGAGCTCCCTTCACCTCTCTCTTGGTTCCTGCAGGTGTCCCCCTAATAGCAGAGAGCACTGTCCTATAGTGGGACAGTTACGAAGAGGTCATCAATGTCATCATGTCAGAGAATGTTTCAAATTTCTAGTCTCTCCTCCCCCTGCCAAAGTACCAGCAATGTGAATCAGCTCTAGTTCATTATGTCAAAGGAGCATCTCATGCTTATTTGAATCGGAATATGACTCTGATTCTGGTAGGGGTGAGGGATCAGGCATAAAAAATAAATATTATTTTGGCTTTGGAGATCTCTCCCTGTGGAAAGGGGCAACAGAGATAAAGACTAGAAACAGGGACATGCTGATACCAGACACAGCTTATATGTAGGCCCCGTGACCCTGGCCTTCACAGAGTTATTTAGAATCCCAGCAACCTGCTACAATGTAACAGAATTTTATTTATGCCTGAAAGTTCACCATTGGGAATTATATCTCCAGAAGACACTTTAAAAAAATATAAATGTTGTTTGAGGGGATGCCTGGGTGGCTCAGTTAGGTAAGAGTCCAACTCTTGATTTCAGTTCAGGTCATGATCTCAGGGTTGTGAGATCGGGCCCCACGTTGGGCTCCTCACTGGGCATGACACCTGCTTAAGATTCTCCCTCTCTCTCTCCCTCTCTCCTGCTGCCCCTCCCCCTCTGTAAAATAAATATATGTTGTTTGAGAAGATTAAAGAAGAAACCATTCTTACCAAGCCATGCACTTGGGGATGGAGCGAGCTGCAAAAGAGTTTGGGTGGAAAGGATGAGAAATTGGAAAATGGGACCCAAGCAAGTAAGGGGTGACAGAGGATGGATACCCTGAGGAAGCCTTTTCCCCCAAACTTGCTAAATGTTGCCTCCTTCTGAGCTCTGGACTCTCTGATGTTCCCCTGCAGGTCCATACAGGAAGGCAGAGGGGCAAGGAGAGATGTGGCAGCCCCAGAGAGGAAGAAGGTGTTGGCCCTGTGGCAGGAAAAGGAAGCCAGGGGCCCTGCTCTGAGGCTGACTCACCCCTACACCCACTCATTTCAGGGTTACATCTCTCATTTGTTCACTTGAGGATGGTGGCAGGGGGGGCAATGGAGAGCGGCTGCCATGTGGTGGGGGAGGGGGGGCAGGTGAACCTGCTGTCAGAAGTCTGACTTGGTAGACTTTAATCACAAAAAGAATTAGGCGCCCTTTCTTTCTTCCTGCACCTCACCTGATTTCATTTCAGTTCTTTCATAGAAGGTGACGGTCAAGAAAAGATTGAACATAGCCGGAATGTCTGTCATGTAATACATAGATTTTTTTTCCCCATCTAATACATGGAAAATCCATGTAATCCACGGATTTTTTTCCAGGAAGAATACAACAGAAATGGAATCTTCAGGGCGCCTGGGTGGCTCAGTGGGTTAAAGCCTCTGCCTTCAGCTTGGGTCATGGTCCCGGGGTCCTGGGATCGAGCCCCGCATCGGGCTCTCTGTTTGGCAAGGAGCCTGCTTCCCTTCCTCTCTCTCTGCCTGCCTCTCTGCCTACTTGTGATCCCTGCCTGTCAAATAAATAAATAAAATCTTAAAAAAAAAAAAAAAGAAATGGAATGTTCGGTCCTCGCCTCCATCCCCTAGCCAGTCCCATTCTTTCTCTCTGTGAAGACAACAAGGGAGCTAGAAGAGTCTGGACTGTGGCCCAGACTGCCATGGTTCAAATCCCAGCTCCGTTACTTCCTAGTTGTGGCCTTGGGCCAGTTATCCAACCTTTCTGTGCCTTGGTTCTCTTATTTGTCCAGCTGGGCTAATGCTACCTACCGCAGAGCCCTGTTGTGACACACAGATGACTTACTACACGGAGGGCGCCCGGCACAGTACCTGGCAAGGATCAGCCATCACAGAGGGCAACGTAATTATCCTGCCTCACTGGTGACGGTGATTTACCGTGGGAGTAACAGAGGCTGAGAGCAGCTTAGACCCCTAGCTGGAACTGTGCCCACAATAAATCTACAGCCTTTTTAAAAGACACATTATTATTATCTCTCTGATCACTCCTCTTTTCTAAATATAGTGTGGGATTTTAAGTGAGAAAGCTTCAGCAAGCTGCCCCCTCCAGGGGTTCCAAGAAACATGAACTGCAGGACTTGGATTACATTAAATCACCTTCCATTAAGTTCTGGTTCTGGGTAGTCCGACAGCTGTTCCCTCTGTCCCCTTTGCTAAAAGGGGATATGCTTGACTTTCTATTTGATCTAGGGATGAGAGGATTTTCTGTGGGCAAATTCTCCAAAGTGCATCTGGCTTAATTAGTAAAAATCATTTTAGGCTTGGGATCCAGGGTCTTGGTTCTAGACTACCCTGGAGCACCCATTACAAGCTTTTTTTTTTTTTTTTAAAGATTTTTATTTATTTATTTGACAGACAGAGATCACAAGTAGGCAGAGAGGCAGGCAGAGAGAGAGGAAGGGAAGCAGGCTCCCCGCCAAGCAGAGAGCCCGATGCGGGGCTCGATCCCAGTATGCTGGGATCATGACCTGCGCCAAAGGCAGAGGCTTTAACCCACTGAGCCACCCAGGTGCCCCCCATTACAAGCTTTTAAGGCTCAGCTGAGTATGGTTCAAGATGAGGAGAGGTCAAAATGCCTGATGCTCTGGTCTATAAAATGGGAAAAATAAGACCATCTCTGCTTTAGAGCTGAGACTAGAGGTGTGGAAGTGCTTTGGGCTCCCCTGGGAGAGATGCTAGGGCAGTTCCAAGTAGTGTTATCATGCATAACTGTCTTTCCATGACCAGGGGGAAAATAGAAGTCAGAAAAACTCTGGTTAGGGTTGTGGGTTTGTTTTTTTTTTAAGTCAGCGGAAGGAGCCAACATTGCACCTGGAGTTTAATAATCATGGGCAGCGTTGCATTCTCTACCCTAAACAATATTCCGAATAACATAGGAGCTTTTAAAAATAGATAAATGAATCAGCGCACTTAATGGGACATCTGCTTCCACTCCCTTCAGTTGTAATGTCAGATGCTTTGCTTCTTGGAAAACTCCAGAAAAAGACTACATCTTAGAGCTCGGGAATTTTTTAAAATATGAAATCTCCCTGACTATATACAATCTTAGCTCTGCCGCTAAGGGGAAGCTGTGCGTGATATGGTGGAAAGACCCTTGCTATCCTGGCACCTCTCTGCCCCTTGGCCTCAGTTTCCGCGTTTGCCAACGCGAGGACTGAGTTTACAGCCGATCGCTCAAGTCCCTTCGCGCCCCGACACTCTCACTGGAGAACAGATTTGAGAGCGGGGGCCTCAGAGGGCGCACAAGTCACCTCTTCGGAAGGTTTTGCTCACGGCCCTGGGGAGAAATTGAGCTGCGGGAAGAGGAGGAAGCCAAGCGAGAGTGGACCGGGGCCGCAGCTCCCGAGCCGGAGCAGGGATCGCGCGCTCCTCCCGGCCTGCGGGGGAGAGCAGCGAAGCGCGGAGAAGGGTGGTCGTGAGGATTCTGAACGGTCCTGGGCTGGGGCTGGGGGCGCAGACCCGGCGCGCGGAGCCGGATGGCCGGGATGCGGCGGGGGGAGCGCGGCGGCGTCCGGGCTCCCGGGGTGCGGGCGGTAGCGGTGGCAGGTCGGAGAAGGGCGAGCGGCACCCCTGCATGCGCGAGACGGCCCCGCAGGCCGGGGTCGGGGGAAGGGGGTGCGGAGCGTGCCGGGCTCACCTGGGTCTCCTCCTCGGAAAGGCCGGCCTCGGCCGCGATGAGGCACAGCGTGGTGGGGTCCGGGTGCTTGTTGACCTTGTTGAAGTTGTACTCCAGGATCTCCACCTGGTCCTCCGTGGGGCCGCTCGAGGTCTCCGCCGACATGGTCTCGGCGCGGCTGCGGGGAGGAAAGCAGCGGCTGCGGTGAGCGCGGCGGCGGGCGAGGACGGAGATCTGGGGCGCGGCCGGCCGGGCACCTCGGGGCGCGGGGGCGCGGGGCCGCCCCTCCCGCGGGCGCACGGTCGCGCGAGTCCCCGGCCGCTGCGGGTCGCTCCCGGCCGCGCCTCCCGAGGGTCCGCCGGCTGAGCCGCGCGTCTCCGGGCCTCCGGGCCTGCCCGGGACTGGGGGGTGCGGGGCGGTTCTCACGGCAACTTTCCCCGGGGCCCGGGCCCGGGGCGGCGGCGGGAGGAAGATGACGCGGCGCGCCCTCCTGGCCCCGAGGCTCTGGGGACTAAACGGGAGGGGAAGAAGCGCGGCGGCGATTTTGAAAATCGCCTTCAAATCCCGCCCACCGCGGGAGAGGGAGCTGCGCGGGGACAGTCCCGACAGGTCGCGGGGGTGGGGACACACCTCACCGGTCCGCGCGTCCTTCTGCCTCTAAAGTGGTTTCTAGCCAAGGAGGGCAGTGCACCCCACCCCTCCTCCGAAGAAACGACCCAAAGGACGGAAGTTACTTCTTAAAGTTGGGGAGCTGGAGCGGCGCTTCCCATCTCTGCCTCTTACAGAGCTGGCGACAGCGTCCGCAGACATGTCGGGTCCTCCCGCCCGTGCTGGGACCGGGAATTGAGCATCAGGAGAAATGTCCCCTGGAGGGCTTGTGTGAGTCACTCTGCAATCTGCCACCTCCTCTGCCATCCCGCCCGCCCCGTCCCCCCCATTATCCCGAAGCCAAGAATCCACAGCCTCCAGTCAACGCGGCTGGTCGCTGCCTTGCGTGGTCTGGACACGGTGGCGCAGCTACTGCCGGGAGCCCCCTGCATGACCAGCTTCAAAGTCTCTTGTATTTCCTTACTTCAGAGCCAAACACTGCTCTGGCAGGTTTGGGGTACCAAGACTGCCTGCTGCATGGACTGCTCTCCATGTCTAAATAGCCTCTGAACTGGGTCCAAAAAAAGGAGGGGGGCAGACGTGCGTCCCTCCTTTCCCTTCCCACAATCTAAGAGGTACCGAGGTGCCGGATGTTGCAGTCTGGAAGCTGTCCGGGAGGATTTGGCAGAGACAGGTCAGGGCTCGACTTCGCTGGCAGTAAAAGAGAAGCTCAAGTGTGGGAATCAGGTTGGTTTGTTGTTTAAACAAACCATTGCAAAATCATCCAGCACAATCCCAAGTCGGTTTTGAGGTGGTTTGTGCCTGGGGAGGAGCCGCAGTCTGCCTAGGAGCCTGCATAACGTCCCCGATGCTGGGACAAGGTTTTCTGAGACCTGCCTCCTGCGCTCCCTGATAAATAAAGGTCTTTACCGCTATTCTGGGTCACTTGGAGAGGCTTGCAGGGAGGACAAGAAGCCATTCTACTGGGAGGGAGTCTTGGGCTCAAGGCACTTGTCAGGTCAGCAGGAAATCTCTGTTTTCAGGTGTTATATGCCCCTGCCCCCATTTAAAAATCTGAACTGGTGATTCTAGGTCAGAAACACCTCCTCTCCTGTTGGCACCTGTCTCCCCTTTTCTTTGAACCAGAAGTTCAGAGCTGGAAAGAAACTTGGAGATGAACACTTTCAGTCCTCTCCTGGAAAAGCCCAGGAGAATGAGGCACAGGAAGACTTCCAGCGTGCCCAATTAACGACCAGCACCCTAGAAGGGAGAGCCTTAGCTTTGGTTTCAGTCCTGCACTCTTCGAGACCCTTCTCAGGAGGCCATCCTGTCTTTAGTCTGGCAGAAAAGATCAGGAGGGCAACAGTTTAAAGGCAGGGGCTTTGGAAAGAGCATTGACTGTCCTTATAGGATACCAACTCCAGCCAAATCTGCCCACTGGAAACACCGACCACTGCTCATTTTGCCCAGAAGAGTATAGGAGAGGAGACACTACTGCCTCGGATTTTATTTCTTGGAAAGCTTCCATCTAATCCCATGGACACAGTTATGCTGCCTCTTTTCTAGGAGAATTTTTGCTTTGTAGAATTCTCAGTCCTTCAGAAATATGAACCAAGCGCATAGATTTCTAAACTGGACTCAGATTCAAGGACTGCTCTGCATGTACTTATCTCTTTTTGTTATATACTATTAGGTAACTCAGAGGCTCTTACTGTCCTCACATTTAATCAGGTGCATTTTCTTTTCTATTTGTGTGGCTTCCTGTTATAGGACTTTGTATGCGGTTTCATGGGTAGCTTCCGGTTGACTTCAAAGTTCTCTGTGGGTTAGTTGGCTGAGGGCCACTGGACTCATTTGGCGGCTAAGGAGACTTGTGGGAGGTCCATTTGAACGTACCTACTTCTCCAAGATACACCGAACAAACAAATCTGACCTCTAGAGTGAGATCAATCTGCTGTTTCTCCACAAAACCTAGTTTCTGTCCTTTCAGCCCTCGTCGGCTGACAAGTGTTTATGGCTGTTGCTTCATTTCTTCTCTCCTTCGCTTTCTTTTCAAGGAAATGTAAAAACCAAATCACCCTGGTAACCTGGGCCTTATAAAGCTTCTCAACTCTTTCCAGTAAGCAAACTGTTGAAAAGCCTCTCTGAAGGTAGTCTAGACACTTGCAGATGAAAAGAACTAAACATATTTTTAAAGCTCCTTAAACTTTAATCTCAGCACAAGTTCTGTTGTCGCTGTTGTTATATTCATAATTTACGGAACATTCAAAGAGTAATGCGTCCTGTAGTCGTGTTTTCTTTCGTGGTCAAGGGAAGACAAAACCTTTTCAAGAGGTTAAATGAAAATGGCCGGCTTTTTCCTGAATTAATCCCAACACCTGGTTGGCGGTTTTGCCCTTGTCCCCTAACCTGATAGTTATTTTAAAGCTATTTCCCTGTCTGAGCTAGCTCACAGACAGTGCTACAAACTCGTAGAAATTCTACGAGTTCTACAAACTCTACAGGTTCTACAAACCTGCAGAAATTGCTGTGAGCTCACAGTTACCATCTTCTTCCTCTCCCAGCCATCTGACCTCTTTGTAAAACCACTAGCATCAAACCAAATGGTTATCGGTGGTAGATACTCGTAGACAGTCCTGTGGTGAGCTGGCCAAAAGAGAAAAAAGCCATGGAATCATTTTTTAAGGCCATCTCCCAAGTTTCTTTGGCCCAAATTTCCTTCGTGTTCACTCCAGACTTCCACGAACCCATGGGCCCTTGAAGCATTAGTATTTTCTTAAGTGAGGAAAATGCGCTGTGCTGCCCCAACCCCAAGAGAAGTGGAGGCTCTTCATTTATCACTTGCTGAACTACTCTGGACAGGGTGCCAGGGGCAGCACCCAAGCTGTCAGTGTGTCTCAGGATGGACAAACAGGGGATGCCTATGTGGCCGAGTGGCTTGAAGGTCTGACTCTTGATTTCTCCTCCGGCCATGATCGCAGGGTCCTGGGATCTGGCTCCACACTCATCGTGGAGTCCGCTTGGCATTCTTTCTCTCCCTTTCCCTCTGCCCCTCCCCCACCCTCTCTCTTTCTCTGTCCCCAATGAATAAATCTTAAAAAAAAAATAGGAGTGGAATATTGATCAGCCTCTCCAGGCTAACAAGAAGTCTGCTTTCAAAAGAGAGTTTTTGTTTGTGTGTCTGTTTGTTTTTGTTTTTTGTTTGATTCATGTCCTTAAGCTTCGATCAGTAGCTCTCATGCCTGGCTGGGCCTCGGGGTCACTTGTAGAAATGTCCAGGGCCCCCGCAGTCCTCCTGAATCAGAATCTACTTTAGGAACTCAGTGGGGAAGGGATATAAAAATATCTCAGCTCTTATTCACAAGATTTTGTAATTTAATCGTTAAAATCAATGATAAATGTTTAGAACTTAATACTTCATACCTATAAAAACCATTAAAATATTTTGTGCCTCTGATGCTGTGTATCATCTCAACAGTTGAGTAGATGGTAGGTTGAGGAGGTTTTAAAGGAATAAAGGTAAAAAAAGATTCTATTTATTTACTTCAGAGAGAGATTGGGGACAGGGGCAGAGGGAGAGGGAGAAAGAGAGTCCCAAGCAGATTCCTTGCTGAATGTGGAGCTGGATATGGGCTCAGTCCTACAACCCTGAGATCAGGACATGAGCCAAAACCAAGAGTCATGCCAAAACTATGCTTAACTGACTGAGCCACCCAGCTGCCTTTAAAGGAATAAAGTTTTTAAAATACACAAATACACACCAGAAAAAAAAAATTTAGAACCATGTTATTAATCTTTTTTTTTTTTAAGATTTTATTTATCCATTTGAGAGAGAGAGAGAAACAGTGAGAGAAAGCCTGAGAGGGGAGAAGGTCAGAGGGAGAAACAGACTCCCCGTGGAGCTGGAGCCCAATGAGGGACTCGATCCTGGGACTCTGGGATCATGACCAGAGCTGAAGGCAGTTGCTTAACCAACTGAGCCACCCAGGCACCTACTATGTTATTACTCTTTTTATATGTATGGTCAGGAATGGGGAAATTGCCTTTAAAATTATGAATTATTGGGGCACCTAAGTGGCTCAGTCAGTTAAGTCTGTGACTTTGGCTTAGGTCATGATCTCAGGGTCCTGGGATGGAGCCCCTCCTTGGGCTCCATGTGCAGTGGGAAGACTGCTTGTCCCTCTGTCTCTCCCTCTGCCCCTTCCCCTGCTTTTTCTCTCTCACACACAAATAAATAAAATCTTAAAAAAAATAATGAATTATCCAGAGAAATTTTCTCCTGCTTTCAAAAATTTAGAAATAATATAAAACCCTTTAAAAATCTTTCAGAAAACTGTATTTTTATATTGAAATCAGAATTTAAGAAGGCAGGTCATTAAAAGAAAAATTCCACTTCATACAAATACCTGTAATTGATTTAGAAACCAAAAATTATAGTGGAGAATATTTGACAAACTTGACAAATGATTGTCCTTCTCCTATCAAAGTTTCCTGTGAGAGAACTGCTAAAATTTAAGTTATCATTTATATGGGTAACTTGTATAATAGAACTTAAAACTGAACATTAGACTATGAATATACCATATACATATAACATGAGGATTCTGAATAGAAATAGAAATATACATATATATATATTTTAAAGATTTTACTTATTTACTTGACAGAGAGAGAGATCACAAATAGGCAGAGAGGCAGGCAGAGAGAGGGAGGAAGCAGGCTCCCTGTTGAGCGGGGAGCCCGATGCGGGGCTCAATCCCAGGACCCTGAGATCATGACCTAAGCCGACGGCAGAGGCTTAACCCACTGAGCCACCCAGGCACCCTGGAACATTTAATCATATGTCTTCTGAAGTGCATCTGGGAGGGTTTCTCTAGGGTATACACGAGTGGAACAGGTCATAAGATATGTGACTTTTTTCTTTAAAGATTTATTTATTTTAGGGAGAGAGAGAGTGTGTGTGTGAGCAGGGAAAGGGGTAGAGGGAGAGAGAGAATCTCAAGCAGAATCCCTGCTGAGCAGGGAGCCCTACTTGGGGCTCGAACTCAAACCCCGAGATCATGACCTGAGCCGGAAATCAAGAGTCGGCTGCTTAACCGACTGAGTCACCCAGGAGCCCCGAGATATGCGGCTTTTAACTTTATAACATATTATCAACTTCTTTTCCAAAGTTGTTGAACAAAACTATACAAACGGTGCATAGCATTTCCTTTGCCCCACATCCTCATCAATAATGCCAAACTTTTAAATT